GTAAGTTAATAAAATATTGAAAAAATTATAAATTCTTCATTTGACTCATTCAATATTGAAAATATATAGAAAAGTCCTCAATTTCTTAATTGTATATGAAGTCATTTTCCTTATACAATTTTATCTCTTTTCAACTTGTTAAGAAAAGAGGAAAAGACCCCTAGTACAATAGGGCAACTTTTCCTTTTTCTTTCCAAATTAGAATTCTACTTACCTTTTCCTAATAAAATTCTTCTCTTTCATAAATCTGAATGAAACTAGTTAACAATGCTTATATGCAATGGTTAATCTAAAATGTATAGATAATAAATTTTGAATCATATTAGAAAACCTGTGTATAAAGACTTAAAATGAAGAAGACGTATACTATTCAAAGCTTAACTGACACAAAACTTCGAAGTCATATCTTTAGTTGTATGTGGACGACGAGAACACCCACATGAGTTCTAATTAATCGCAAATGATAGGGAAATTTCTAGATAGTGAATCTCAAGGTGTTAAAGTCTACAATAATAGGGAACTATTTAGTAAAAGAAGATTCTAGAAGAAAAGAAAAGGGTAGAATATGAGAGGAAAACGTTTTGATAAAATCAAATTTTTAGTAAATTATGATAAAAATTGATAAAATGTATAATTGAAAAATTGTGAGCTCTATGAAATATGTGATTAAAATTAATTGTTGACTTTGACTTAAATTAAAATCTGAATTTTAATTTATATCAAACAGGATTTTAATGTCCAACATATGCCAAAGAACTGCAAATGAGGCCTGTTTTGAAATATAATTGAAACTAATAAGTTTGTGTTATTTTAAAAATTGATTAAAAATTATGAATTTCCCATAAATATTATCAATACTTACCACCATATAACAATCAAAAACATTTTCATAATGAATAAATTACCTGGCACAATATGCTTTTCAATTACTTGAGAAAATAAATTACACACGACGTCACACCAATATTTTGACAAACATTTTAAAAATCAAGAAAATAAAGAAAAATAAAATGTAAAAATCAAAACCCAACGTTTAAAAAAAAAAAAATTATTAAACAAATCACACTAAATAGAACAAATTTATAGATCAACATCA